TCAAAACATTGTAAAACAGTGGCCTCCCACATTTTGGGCATCAGAGACTGGTTTTTCTGCAGATCGGAGGGACACATGGTTTCGAATGCTGCCTGCATCCCATGAATGGGGCTTTGCTTGTTTGTGCAGCCTGGTTTCTGGCATGCCACTGCCCGGTACCAGTCACAGACCGACAATGAATAAATATAAAAATAATTAAACTTTAAATTCTGAAATTTCAGAATAAATAATGTCTTCACGATTGACCAACATTAAATCAGTCTTGAGTCATAAACCTCTGGAGAATTCCCCTAGGAACTGAACATCCTTAAGCCCCAAAGGGTCATCTCCAAGCAAATAAAATATTGCTTGGGAAAAAACATGCTAGCACTATTTTCAGATTATCTCCTAATATCAATCCTGCGTATGCCTATTTAGAGTTAAAATACATTTTAGTATAGTGAGCCTTATCTCCCATGATGGAGAATTGTGACTTTGAAACTTATAGATTAGATTGTAGAAGCACTTGAATTTCTCTACTGTTGATGCACAGAGGAACTTTTCCTAATATGGCGAAGATTATAAGTCTTCCTTGTGCTATAAAATTCATCTGGAAAGGTTCCATGGCTTCTTTATTCCGAATTTCATTAATTTTGAAAGTATTCAACCTTTGAGGCAAAAACAAACTGGAGCAAAGACAGCTTTTTCATTTAGCTGCCATTTTAAGAGTTGATTGAAAGAGCAAAGAAATACTTCTAATTCTTCCAAAATTGTGGGATAGCAACCCTAATAATGAGAGTCTTTCATCAAGAATCATCTCTACCACTGGGAAAAGAGCAATATGATTATTGTATTCTGTTTTATAGATCCTGTTTAGATTATGAAGCAAATTAAGATTTTATTAATTTAAGGAAATTTTCTGTCATTTTGGCACTGGGGTAGCTCGATATCCTGCTTCTTTCTGTGTGGTCTGATATGGGTGAAGAAACTTAAAGGTCTTGCTAATTCAGAAAAAGTAAAAAGTAATATCATTTTCATGCTACTTTGAAAGAATGTGACAAATGAATTAGCACTCACCTGCCCACAATATATATACAGAAGCCTGATGATGGCAGATGAGATTCTGCCGAAACGTTGCTACAACTTTAAAAGCACAACTATGATGACGTGGGAAAATACCTGAACAAAGCTGAATACCATACATACATACATACATACATACATACATACATACATACATACATACATGTTTTCTTAAGTTTTCGCGGGTACTTACATGTATGGTATTAGGCTTTGTTCGGGTATTTTCCCACGTCATTATAGTTGTGCTTTTAAAGTTGTAGCAATGTTTTCGCAGAATCTCATCTGCCATCATCAGGCTTCTGTATTGTGTTCAACAAACTATAATGACGTGGGAAAATACCCGAACAAAGCTGAATACCGTGTGTGTGTGTGTGTGTGTGTGTGTGTGTGTGTGTGTAATTAGAATTCATGTGCAGAAGCTAGAATTTTGAAGTACTAACTTTGAATGAAACAGATAACTATTTCATAAAATAAAAGGAAAGTACCACTTGTGTTTAGGTCAACTTTTGGTGATTGCATCCATACAGTTCTCCTGGAGGTATTACGGACATTGTTTGCACTGCTTTCCTCTGAGATATTTTCAACTATCCAGCCTACCTAGTAGTCTGGAATTCCAAAATGGTTTCCCAACCAAATACTAATCACTTCACTTACCTTCAGAGCCCAACTATGATTGGCTAAATACTGCTATTCTTCTCCTTGAGAGGCTTTTCTGAAGATCTCTCAGCCTCTCTGAGTCCCTTTGAACTCTGTTCTCTGATTGGACTGGGGGCAGGAGATCTCTGCTCCTCCAGACCTGCCTCCGTTTCAGAAAAATCAGCCATATTATTTCCCTTTGTTTTTCCAGTCAGCTTTGCTCTTGCTGGAGTTCAGCAAACGTGGTTGCTCTTTCTAACTGCTTAAGAGTATGCTCAACCTAGACTGAGTATGGACTCTAGCCTCCCTTTCTCCTGGGCAGGCTTGTATGGCTTTCTTTGGAGCTCACTCAGCCTTGACTGAGTCTGCTCCTATTGATAGGAATGCTGGAGGCTCTGTGGGGGCTCCTGGCTGTTTTCGCCTTTATGGGGCTGCCGCTACTTTTCTTTTGCTGGCCTACAGCTGATTGCCGGTCTTCCCCTCTTTCTCTTCACCTTGCGGATATGGGATGGCCGAAAGCTTGTTAACTAGCCTTCCCTTATCTGCTAACCGATCGAGAACCCGCCTGCTCTTTCTGAGGCTGCCACCGCTTGCCTTTGGCTATTTGGCGCTTTCCCAGCTTGGTACGGAATCCCGGTGTCTTCTGCCCCCTTCACTTACAGTTTGTTGACTTTCTCTCTTTTTCTCCTTTTTACTCGAATAATCCAAAGCGTTATTAATATTTTTTCCCTTCTTTCCTTCTGAGCACTCTCTCGTGTCCTCTTTGCCTGAAGACTGAGTCAAAAATTGGGCATGTGCAGTGGAAAGTGGGCTGGACTAAATTTTGATTGACTCAGTCTTCAAGCAAGGAAGAAGGAAACAGCCCACGCTTTGGATTTTCCGACCTGTACAACTAAAAGATGCATTTCAGATAAGATCAATGCTCTTTCTTCTTGAGACTATATTCATACCATCACATTAGAAATAAAGGTAGGATAAGGTAGGACCTTATTGATAAAGCAATTCTTATGCAGCATTTAAATATCTGGAATAAGTTCTCACACTGTTCAGAATCAGGGAAGCTACATGTAATGCTGAGTATAGTGAAGATTAGGAACAATTGTGAAGTATAGGAATAGATGACAAAAATCTTGAACAACTATCTGAAAAAATTGCCTTCTCCACTTGACCTCTGTATATTAAGAACTTTCTCAGAAGCCTTTAGTTTAGTTTCTAAAACCATGAGAAAAGGAGATGGCTTTGACAATAGTTTTCTTTTGCTTTTTAGTGTGTTTTAGTTTTAAGAAAATCTAACATACAGTTTAGATTAATATTAATTAATATTTTATCTGCTGATACAATTATGTATTCACGTTATTTTATTTAGTTAACATACTGTTAGTATTTTAGGATGTTTTATTTATTAATATTTATTAATTTTATTGCAATGCCACCTTTCGTCCAGGAGCCAAAGTGTACACACATGTTTTCTTCTGAAACAACATTGACCTGAGAAATTGTGATTAACCTAAAGTCACTCTGAATTTCCATGGCTAAGAATGAAATTGAATATTGATCTTGCCTATTCAAGTCCAAAATCTTAGCTACTCTAATTTACTAATATTATTAATATGTTACAGAAAATTAGAATAAAATATGATTAAATGCAAGGGCAAAGTTTGCCACTTAGAAGCATACTTGTTTATATGTGCAGTGTGTAATACTGTAGTTGCTTCAGAATTTGTTGGTCCATGATTAAAATAAAATGACTGAATGACTTGCTAGAATTCTAGCTCTGTTGGGCTCAACTTTCTGCAGTTTTGTGTGCATGAATAATTTAATGCAAAAGAGAAGATGGAAGAATGTACAGATAATTTGCCCATTACAGTCACAAGTCATTGCAGTTGTTAAGTGAGGTGACCACCTGAACATCTACTTAATGACCACCCAACGTTACTTTCCCTAGTGCAGTTGTTAAGCAGAATATCACATTAATTTTTAAATCCTGGTGTCAGCAAAAAGTCCATAAAAGATTGCCAGAAATTTGCAACAAAAAAGTATTATTTTTATCTTGATCAAATAAACCAACTTTATATTTCTTCCTTTAACTTCTAGCAGTTTTAGTCTTTAATCCAATCAAATATTGTATTTTTGTAGGATTTAATTTCCCTTACATTTTTTATCCCATCACAAATTTCTTCAAGGCTTTAACAAACCTGTTGTAGATCCAATAAAAACATTTTCAAGGTCATTCTCTTGGTTTATCATTTCTATTTCCCTTTTAACTTTAAATCTTCAGCCAGTTTCTTTTGTATAGCCAGTACAGCATCCGTTTGCAAATCATTTTCTTGGATTGTCATTTATAGTTCCAGTTTGAGTATTTCGCTGTCTTGCCAGATAAAATTTGTTCCATATCTGCCATTCCTTTATTAACATCTTTTGGAGGTAGTCTACCCATAGAAAAACCATTACTGACATATTTCTGGCTCCATTCTTCAAAGATTCTCTTTTTCTGATATTATGTCATTTTGAAAATCCCAGCAATTGCTGATATCAGGAACTGTAAAGGAATGTTTGGATGAACTTGGGGAACGAGGGAGAGATGCTGCCTAGGAGATAAGCAGGCAAGAGAAGCAGGAGCCCCAGTGGCTTTAACAATTCGAGGGAGAAACTTAGGAAGACCCTCCCCTTATAGATCTAGCAGTTAGTGGCAGTAGGACTTTCAGACTTGCAAGATTCTGTTAATGTAGCCTTACAATGAAGTAGATTTAGTACATTTAATTAGGTTTTCCTGTCTGATTTATTTGGAAAAGCTCTTGCAAATTTTTACTGACCAGTTCCTTGGTTTTTGCCGTGGTTGTCAGATCCATTTTTACAGAGTTCACCATACTTCTCCCAGGAGGGCCCCCCCCCCATGCCCACATATGTTGTTAGAATATACATATTAGATTTTCAGCAGCAAATTAGACAAGCTCCATATTTTTAAAACAAAATCATTTAGCGCAATAATCAAATTTATTATTATGTCAGATTTCACAATGTGTAATAATCAAATATGTTGAATTTTGAAAGTACTACAAAATTGTCTCTCTTTTTTCCTGTATAAAAGGTTAACATGACTATCTTTTTAGAAGCTTGTATTATTTAGAAGATAAGCCAATTTCAAAACTGAAATATTTGGCTAAATAGTATTAATGTTATTTAAAATAACATTGAGTCTCATGTCAGATTTCAGCTGAATGTCAGTCTTTGCAATGTAAGCAACCAAACTAAATTATTCAGTGCCTGTTTTGTTTACATTTTTTACTGTTTTTATTTTTTAGGCTTAATTTTGCTATTTTATCTCGTCTTCTATGGCTTCTTAGCTGCACTTTTCTCATTCACAATGTGGGTTATGCTCCAGACATTAAGTAGTGATGTACCCAAGTATCGTGACCGGATTTCTTATCCAGGTAAGTATGTCCAAATGAAATTATCAATATAAATGAATAGAAAATATGTTTTACTTACATTATTTTTTTCTCAACATTTATCATGTAATTAATCATAGTAATTCTTTTTCTTTTTGTACTGATTACTTTATTTCAAATAAATATATTTTATGATGGCCACTTATGAAATAAAACTCTACATGGCTTACAACAATACAGAAACCACTATAACCAAAACAGCACTTCAAGCAGCATTCTCCAATAAAATTCAATGATACAATCTCCAGCTCCAATCTCACTCTATTCCAATGGTTGGGAGAAGAGCCAGCTTTTTATGGTGTTCCAGAGAACCAAAGGATATAGGGCCTGTGGAATCCCTGTGGAAGGATGTTGCACAAAGCAGGGGCTGTTGCAGAAAAGACAAGTTTTGTAGAGATGGTGATATGTAAGGGAAGGAAACTGGATTGTAATTCTAGCTATTCTGTACTACCCATTGTTGTAGTACATTAATTGTTTGACAGTATTTCTGATTAATGTAGGTCTTCAGTGCATATTTTACATTTAAACACATTTTCTGAATGGTTCATTACGATTTGACTTCTTAATATAAGTTTATCATGGAATTAATACAAAACCCTTCCAGCTTTCTCTTCTTTTAGGTATCTAGTGCAAATTAATGACATAGTTCAAATGAACTTTGTTTAATTGGTGGACAGTGTCTACAGAATATAATATGTTGCAGGCATTTAAGTTTGCATGCCCAGATGGGCAAAGTTTAAAAAAACTAATTAATTCTTAACTGAAATTATAAACCAGAGCTAAAGATGAATATATTATTAATGGACTGATTTAAAATAAAATCTGGCCCAGGAAAATTAAATTAGTGAAGCAAAACTATTTTGAGAATGCGAACAAACCAGGGAGATGGTTGGCACACAAACCAAAAAAGGAGAAAGAAAAAAGAACAATAGTAGCCCTAAGATGAAAATGGGAGATTATGCTCCCAGATAGACAAAAAGAAAGTAATTGCCCAAAAATTCTTTGCTAACTTATATACCCAGGAAGAAATCCCAGAAGAGAACATTATCCAATACCTCAAAGAATTTGCCTAAAATATTGGATGCAGAAAAAGATTTCTTAAATGATAAAATAACTATAAAAGAAATTAGAGATGCAGCTGGGAAACAAAAAAACAAATAAAACCCCAGGGCCAGATGGGGTACCATCAGAGTTCTACAAAGAATTCCAGGAAGTATTGGAGGAATTAATGATAGATCTGTATAATGCGGTTCTTAGAATGTGCTAAAATACTGAAGACATGGACAGAGACACACATAATGCACAAGGAACAGACAGACCCGTAGCAAATAAAGAATTACAGACCAATCTTGCTCCTAAATGTGGGTTATAAGATCTTGGCCACGATAATATCCAAAGTTTGAAAAAGATATTAAGCAAAAGTATTCACTCTGACCAGAATGGTTTTCTCCCAAATAGACAGATGAAGACCAACACAAGATTAATTATGGACATCCTAGAATATTATGAGATGCATCCAAATAAACCAATGGTGCTTATGTTCTTGGATGCCCAGAAAGCGTTTGACAACTTAAATTGGCATTTTCTCATTGATTAATTGACTAATATGAAATTTGGTGAAAATTTTGTGGGACTTATTAAAACAATTTATAAAGTACAAATGTCAAAAGTGATAGTGAATGGAGAAACCATGGATGGTTTAGAAATAAATAAAGGAGTGAGGCAAGGATGCCCACTAGCCCCATTGTTATATATATAATCAGAAGAAGTATTGTTGTCACAGTTAAGACAAAACTGAGATACTAAAGGATTAACTGTCAAAAAAGAGGAGTATAAACTCTAAGCCTCCTTTGCCAATGATATAGTATTTATAATGGAAGATCCAAAAGAAACAAGTCCTACATTAATGAGAGAAATAGAAGAATTTGGAAAGATGGCAGGGCTCAAAATTAATAAAGAAAAAACTAAAATAATAACTAAAAACTGCACCAAAAACAAAATGAAGAATTAGCAAATAAATTAGGCATGCAGATAGAAAAAAAAATTAAATATCTCGGAATTTGGCTTACAGCGAAATGTTCATCAATAAAGGAAGACAAGTATGATAAATTAATAATTCAAATTCAAAAGGATTTAGATAATTGGGCTAAGATACTACTATTTTTGTTTCAAACCGTGCCAGTCAAGCTAGGAAGGAACCTTTTTTAGGATCTAAAAAAAATATTGAAATTCATTTGGCAGAAGAAAAAAGCTAGGATAAAATATAAATTACCACAAGATAGTAGAAGCAAGGGAGGATTTGGCCTCCCAGACTTTAAACTATATTATCAGGTGGCAATAACCATATGGATTAAGGATTGGATTAATCTGACACATAATAGGATATTAACAATGGAGGGTTATGGCCTACAACTTTGCTGCATGCATTTCTCTGGGATGGGAAGAGTAAATACCATACCTACTTCCAAAGACATTGGGCGAGAAATACTCTATTATCTATATGGGAGAAACTGAAAAAGAATCATTATATGAAGGTGCCATTATGGTTGTCGACAATGGAAACATTAATATATCCCAACACTTTGGATCGTAATAAAATGATAAAATATAGAGATCTGTTGAATGAGAAGGAATTAAAAATGCGGAATCAATTAGAATTCCAGGGAATTGAAATAGGATGATGGCCTTATATGCAGGTTCAAACACGCTATAAAAAAGACAAAGAACAATTTGGTTTTTATATAACTCAGCAAGAGTTCGATAAAATATTACAAGGTGTGGAAAAAAACGATTAGCAAAATATATAATTATCTATTGGATTTTAAAATGAAAGAGGAAACTCTTAGTATGATAACATGGGCCAAAAATGTAGGCCGTAGCATTAATCTGGAACAGTGGGAACGTATTTGGCAGGTAAATTATAAATTAACATTGTCAATCTCTTACAAAGAGAATGAATATAAAATGTTTTACGGCTGGCACCTCCCCCCAGCGAGAATAGCCAAAAATGTCCCCAAATATGATAGCTAAATGTTGGAGATGTAACCATAACCAGGGAACATACTTTTATATGTGGTGGACATGCCCCCATGCACTGAGATATTGGCAAAAATCAGGTCATGGTTAGAGGAGATAACGAAACAGAGAATGAAATTTAAACCAGAAATTTTCTTACTAGGTATGCTAGAATCTAACATGAATAGAAAACAGCAATATTTGATGCTTCATATCATAACGGCTGCCAGAATCTCTGGCCATGAAGCTATTGAAGGACAAGGAAGAAGGGGAATATTATAAAATATGGGATGTTTGGTACGAATGGATAAGAAAATGACACAAAGTCATCAAATGATAATTATGTAATACCATAAATCATTAAGGTTTACATGTAAATAAATGTAAATAAAAATGTATATGTGTATAAAATGCCTAGAATGACAAAGAAGCAAATACAGAAATGTATAACACATTAATAGAAGATATATCCATATGTAAACCTGCTATAGTAACGTTGTAAAGTGTGGAAATTTGTTTTTAATTGTCAAAATGTTGAATAAATAAATTTATAAATAAAATAAAATCTGGATTATGGAAATATAGGTCACACATACAATTCACATGCTACTTTCTTCATGCTGAGAGTCATGTTGGCCTTTGAGCTACCTCCTACTCCCCAAAATAATGGATGGAACCATGACAAAAGCCAAAGTTGGTTTCTTTTAAATGATTAATATGATTTGGCTCATGCAATTGATTTAATGATTTAATATTTCAGATTAAAATTTATAATTTAGTAATAACTTCAGTATCCTTCTCTCTGTCTCCAATTGTCCATTTTTGCATGTAGGCAATGTCAATAAAAGATTAATGTCTATTGTACATATAATTCTACGTATGACAGTCATGTTGTATGACAGATATCAGACTCTCTAAAATAGCCATGCCTTGCAATTTGAGGCATAAGGTGCAATTTATCCAGTAAAATGTTTTACTTGTTATTAATGGATTGAGAATGTTCTTGGGTAATTTTGCTATATCTTATGCAAAAATATAGAACAATACACACTGAAATGATAGAAAGTAAACTCTCAGTGCACTTCAGGACACAATTCAAGATGCTAGCTCTTTTCTAAAGCCCTTAAAGGTATAGGGCCAGGGATGGATTATTTATGGGACTGCCCATCTCCAATTATGGCTGTATAATTGGCATAGTGGATCCTTTTTGGATCCTTTTTATTAAACAGTGCTGGATCCAAGAAACACTCTTTGGTATGGCATTTGCTCTATGGATGATTCTGACCTTCCTGGACTTCCATAAGACAATAAAGACTCAGTTTTACTTTGAGGTTTGAGCCTAAATATTGAATAACCCCGATTTTTAATTGTGAGGATAGTTATTTTATTGCTTTTTAACTGTTCAGAATTGTGTGTTGATTGGGCAACTAATCCATATAACACAAATAGATAAGTAAAAGTAAGTTGTGTTTTGTCAGGGTAAGTGTTAAGTAATTTTAGTATTACTGATTCAGTGATACAGTGATGAAATTCTTTGATAATTTAATGTAAAATAATGACAAAATTTAGCTATTTAATCTTATGCAATCATGTAAAACCCAGTTCTTAAATTGTTTCTTCAAACTATTTTTATATATTTAGAAATTACCATTTTTGAGGGATACTTTGGATAAACAATTCACCTTTTATTTTTGTAGGACTAATGATTTCACCAAAACCAGAAACAGCACTGGAATTTTCAATAAGCAAAAATAACTCAGGAAACTATAATTATAATCGTTATGTAGAACCTCTTCATAAATTTCTAGGAGGTATGTATACTTTCTCTTTTTTCAAGTACTGAGGGTCCTTGTAATGTTTTTCTAGCACTAACAATAATTGTTGGTAATATTTTTTTGTGATGCTTAGGAAATTGGTTAAGGTTGTCAGACTTATTGACTACCTGAAAAGCAAAATGTTTTGTGAACAAATAAAAATCCTGAATTTAAAATGTGGTCACATTTGTTTATATTCTGCTAAAAAAAATCTTTTGGGAGCTTTTGGAAGATTATTTAGATTGTTTTAATATTAAAATAATATTTAGAATATTAACATTATTAAATTTGCCAAGATGAATATCTAGTAATTTATGGCTTGATATAGAAATGTGATTTTTGTTGTTATTCTACTTTTGAATATCTTTGATGCATATATTCAGTTTGTTGAACATTTAATGAGAGGCGAGAAGGAAAAAATGGCTGTTAAGATAATAAAATCACATTCATCCCTTCTGTATTACAGGCCTTTTGTAAAATGTAAAAGGGCTTTATTATGTAGCAGACATTTGATCAGTTTAACCAAAAGCATGCATAGATAAGACAGTAAGTTTTTCTGTAGAATTCTTAGGTAATATACTGTCACTGTTTCCTATGTATGTTTATAGAAAAGTGAATTGCACACTGTTCAGAGGAGACTACTTTAAATATGGAGAGAGGTGAAAGTCTTAACTGCAGCATTTAGGTGAAAAGGGAACATAGGAAAATGTTGAAAAGAGCAAGGAAGGCATGTGTGAGAATCAGCATTAAAAATCTGGTTCAGAACTTCCTTGAAAGAGATAATTCGGCTGCAGTCAACTTTGTTTGAGCGCCCTCATATTTTGTATTTTACATGTTGCAGGCATGAGAAAGTAAGAGGGTAGAGAAAAGTCAGAGGGCAAGGAAAGGTGACAGAAAGTGGAAAAAAGAGAAATTGTCAGAGGATAAAATACAGAAAAATGAACAAAAGTGTCAAAGGCGGTGGCAGGATGAAGGTGAAAGAAGAGAGGAATAGAAGGTAAATGAGAAAAAAGTGAAAGAAAAAGAAAATAGAGGAGAGAAACTAAAAAGAAGTCAACTGAAATAGATTTCAGTGGTTACAGGTGCCTTTTTGTTAAGAAAGTGCAAATGTGAAAATACTCCTTTAATTGACATTAAGTACAGGATTACTTGTGCTGGAAGAAGTAGATTGCCAAGGCCACAGTGTGTGTTCTGCATTAGACATTGGCAAATATGACATTTCAAATATTGAAACCACAAAAGCTGTTAATGTTAAGGTAGTATTCTAGCTATAAAAAGCTTTTAAAGAAAAAAATATAGAGGGAACCTTGAGATTTGCATGAAAACTGTTCTATTTTACAGCTTTATAATTCCACTAGAATCCACAGTTAAAATGTGGCAGAACTCTACATTCTCAAGTGGAAAAAAAATGAAAACTTGAACTAAAAACAACAGGTTTATATTGCAAACTGCAATTAATATGGATATTGAAATATATAGTAGTGATTTCAAAATTGAAATCTAATTTTTTGTTGAATTCCATAGTCAAATATCTGAGAATACTTTCAATGATTTAAGGCAGATATCCAACCTTGTCTGAACTGCATTGAGTGAAGAGGAATTGTCCTGAGCCACATATAAAACATAAAATATAGTAAATATATAAATGTATATAGTAAAGAACAACCTTCCTTTGTTTTTTTAATATTTTTTATTGTCTTTTGGAGCCACAGCTGACTATCTATAATTGCAGGTTGAACATGGCTGCTGTAAATAGTCAGCATATAAAAACTAAAATATTTGCAGTGCATTAAAAAGAATCAGTAAATATTGTGTCCAGATAATCCTTACTTATTTACCCTAATTGACCGACAACTCCATTGCTATGCGATACAGCCATTAAGCAAAATGTAATATCTGTTTGGCAATGGCAATTCTAGCAATCATAGTTGCTGTCACTGTGAATCCTACACAATTGTTAAGTAAAGACCTATCTGGATCCAAGCCATTTTTGGAAAAATGTAAGGATTTGCCTCTACCACAGCTTATCGCATTCCCCTATCTCCTCCCCAGTCTTTGCATTTTTATCACCTGCTGCCAGCTTCTCCTGCCACCAAGATGCCCATCGTATCACACACCACACTATATCAATGGGTAGCATTCTTTCATGCTGCCTTTCCCACCAATGCAGCTGGCGCTTTTTTTGCCTGCTGGTCAGGGCTTCCTTGAGCACCCTGAACAGGGCCTCTATTTGTGCCTTTCTTTCGTGAAAGAAGGAAAAGGGTGGGGACAAAAGGAGGGCCTGAGCAGGGTGTAAACTGAGACTCTGGCTGATGCATAAGGGAAATCCAGCTGCACCCGTGGGAAAGAATGCTCCAGCTGGTACAGTAGTGCAGTGCAGCAAGAGGCAATGGTGGCAGCAAGTAGGTGGGTGGCCAAAAGGTGATCATAAACTCCCATGGGTCTGAATTTTATTCACATGACCACAGGGATGCAGCAACAGGTGGAACTTCAAGGGCAGGTAATAAGTTCCATTGTTTAGTATTATCATAACTTCAAATGGCCATTGAACAAATATATATTAAGGGAGGATTACCTGTATTGTTCTTGCAGAGTTGAGATGTATTTCCAACAAAGAAAGATTGGTTGCCAAAATTATGTCAGCCAATAATTTTGTGAAAATTTCATTCAAGAAAAGGATTGATTGCTCAGTACTATTAAACTTAAAATAGATTTATTAGCTTCATATACAGAGAACTATTATATAACATAATCACAATCAAATATAAAAAATAGAAATAAATAGATTTTTAATATTAATGTTTATAATTTTGAGATTACTTGTATAAATTATTGTTCTCTTGAGTGAAGCAAAGCATTGGCTATTTTGTTTTATTTGACAAGTTAATTCTGGTTTTGAAACTAGCATACCTTGTAAGCAGGTTTAGTTGTTAGTGTATCAATATGCAGAGAAATGTCATGCTTCTGGGTTATATAAGATTTTTTTAAAAAAAATGCTAGAACAATTTCACAAAGGAGACGTAATGCGACATATGGATGGACCAGTTTAATACTTTATGCCAAAGTTTGTGTGAAGATATGAAATTGAGTAAAATTGCCTACAGTCTGGATTTAGACATGCTAAAGTCTGATATTAATTGAAGAGAAATGTTCTCGGCTCTTAACTTCTATGAATGTATGGCACAAAATTAAAGCTGTAAATTCAGAAATAAAATTTATTGAACTTTTGGATTTCTTAATAAAAAGGTGATAAGTGATGCTATGATCACTTCTATGATATTAAATATAAATTCAGCTTATCTTTGAGCATGTATTCTATGCCAGATAAAATTAAAGACAGACTTAATAGTATATTTTATTATGAACAAAAAAAATCCAGAAAGCATTCACTGTATTCTGGAAAGTACAATGAATCAAACATAGAAAAAAATGCTATCCTTACTATTTGAATTCTCAGAAACTTTCAAATTAGTGTAGTCATTAAAGCAAATACTGTGCAGTGTTTGAAAGTTAATCTGGTTATAACCGTCTATTTTGCAGCACTTTGAATTGCTTTTTTCTCATTGGTAATTCCCTTCAATGCATGAATTTTGAAATTGGGTTTGTGTTCTCGCTTCAAATGGCTCCCTGCTCTTGACAAATTGAACACCTCTGCGCAGTAATGTTTTTTCAAAATTTGGAAATGAATATTCTCCAAATTTTCATCTGCTAAATGATACTGTAGTATGTATATTTATTAAATAGTTAATGTCATGCACTGAATTGTTTTTTCTAGCATATAATGAAACAAAGCAAACCAGAAACATTCGGTGTTCTCCAGGAAAGCTCTTTGACCAGAACTCTGTAAATAAATCAGCGTGCCAGTTTAATCGAGATAGCCTGGGACCTTGCTCTGGACTACAAGATGAAAATTTTGGTTATGACAAAGGAACACCATGTGTTATTATAAAAATGAATAGAGTAAGTTCAGTTACTCTTTTGGATTTCATAAGGCTTTCAGTTTTTCCTGCGGAAAACTTGTTGTTCAGATTTGTAGCTGGACAGTATTTGCTTGAAGGTAAATTTCTGTGTATGTTTCTAGATGCTCTTAGAATTCCTTCTTTTCTGATCTTTTCTGATTTCTGTGTTGAAGATAGAAAATCATGAAAAAATTTTGTCTGCTTGTGTTAGAGTTTCCAATTCAGCTCTTTTATGTTAAAGTTGGATGGCATTTTACCATTCCCTGTTGCTTAAAAATTGTTACATTTTTGCTTATAAAAGAAAAATTCCAGTTGTATATTTTTAGTCTGAACAAATAATAATATAGCCACTAAAGAACAACTCACGTAAGTATATATCATGCAAGAATTTATCTACTGATCAGAAATGTTTTCACCAAGAATATATTTCTGCCAAATAAGATGAGTTTCATTTGATTCCTTAAAAAATTCTGATGGACATTTATAGTTAAATATTTTTCTTTTTAAGTAATTAATTATGTGTTATGTGACATATTATTTGTATATGCCTTCTGGATTCAGCCATTAATGTTATATGCCTAATTTGAAATAATGGCTGTTGTTGGAATCATCACATGGAAATGAAACATTCTTGAGTACTTTTGTGAATATATTTTAAAACAGGATTATGTTATAACATCTACATCTGCATTCTGATAAATATTTTCCTTTCTTACTGAGAACTTTCTGCCTACCAACAAATGCAGGCATGACCTAACTAATAGATAAGGTGTATATTTGTGGTATATCTTACAAAACCGTTCAAATTGAATGGGTATTTCAACTGAGATTGTTGTAGAATTCAAGTTTTATATATACGTTTATTATATATATTTCTAGTAGCCACAGAACATTATAAATATATAAATATTATGGATATCCATTCATATACTGAAAATAAACAACTTTGATGTGGTTGAAAACATTATTTACATTACTATTGCCTTATATTTTGAATATATTGATTTCTAATGTGGAACACAGTAATTTCTGGGTATGCTGGTATACCACAGCAATACAGTAATTATATAATGAACTATATTTTTATTATATTAAAATTAAAAACTTGGGCTATTAGAAAGTGCTACTTTATTTAAATTATTGTTAATATTTATTCTATTCCAAGTTGTAAAACATTTTTTCTACATTTCAGATAATTGGATTAAAGCCCGTTGGAAAACCATATATAAACTGTAATTCTAAGGTAAGCATTTTAAAATAAAAACACGCCCACTTTTATGTCATTAAAAGAGCAAGTGGTTTAATATAAATTTGCCTTAATTGTTATTTCCCTATATTTTAGATTTCCGCTTACTAATTTTAAAATTTTATGTTACAGTCTCCATTTTAAAAACATATGGTTTTTACATTATTACTTGCTTTTTGATTTATTTCATTTCATAACCAGCATTTTTTTTCTCTCTATGCTGCAAATGCATCTTACACAATATTTTTATGATGGGTAAGAAAATGAGCACTGAAGCAGAATATGAAATCTTAGTGTTTGTACTGTGAAATTGTTCACTCGTAAGCATTCCATTATTTTCAAAACGTATTCAGTATAAAAGCTATATGTTTTAAAATGTTTCCTTTTATGTAGATGATTTTACCATATACTTGTGTATTTTTTAAGAAAAAATATTTTTATTTATTAAATTTCTACATCGCCTATCGCACTTGCATGAATCTGGATAGTTTTCCAATTTATATAATGTCTGCTGACTTATACATTTGAATGAATTTGGGTTTTAAGATCACACACTGAAGCTTTCCACATATATCCCATTTAGAATTGTAATATTTGCCAATTTTTTATTAAAATGAAAATGTTCAATTTAATGTCAATCTAGTTTTATTTTAATTTGAACTGTAAGGGTCATATAGTACCAAAACTGACAAAAGGCAAGTGAGTGGAGAGTGCATGTGCAATAATCATCTATTGTGATCAAATTATGAAAACCAAAATTAAGGTGTTTGAGTCACATCTTTTGATTATTAAATTTTATTTTTATTAAAATAAGCTGAAAAGATGAATGTATTAAACCTTATCATACATGCATATGATACCTAAGTAAAAATGCATCTTCTGCTTATATACTGAAATATTGTTGAATATACCTGTATTTGCACTTTTAAAAAAATCTTTTCCTCTGTACTTACATTTATTAAACCAAAACAAAAATAATGCTAGAGCTAGCATCCCTTTCCACCCTTCAGAATCCCTGTACAAATCTTCCTTGCTTGGGCGGGAGCTGTTCTAAAGGAGGGAAGCCCCCACAAAGAACACCTGTTATTAGGCCTATCCCATTGTATCACACGATAGTGTCTTAGGACATCCATTTCATTCCTTAAACCCTCCTCAAAAAATTCCTGCCCCTAGGATTGTATTTGACTTCTTCAGCTAAATGTATAGATTTTCATCAATACATGCATAATTGCCATAACATTGCTCATAGTTTGTGGCATCAGCTTTTATAAAATTCCTATTTTGAAGTATGACATCTACTCCATATGATCTGGCTAATATATAGCTCCCATTGATCAAAATTCTTTCTGATTGAACTTTTTGTTTTCTTGAACTTCCAATCATAAAAAATAGATATAAACAGCTTAAGGTTGCACTCTTTAAACCTTGATTGTATCTGAGGGCATTTCAATTTGGCATTTTTAATATCTACTGTTAAGTTTTATGCATCCTAATTAATTTGTTAAAGAGTTAAATATTATTATAGAACGTTTATTATTATATATAAATCTTTCATTTGCTCCTGTAATCCAAACTGTTTGAGAATATTTTATCATATTTAGTAGCATGTTATACTTCAATGCAGTATTTTATATTTATTCTTAGAATCTTATTTCAAATGTAAGCACATTTATTTTGAATGTAAAATTTTGTTAGCCCATTTAACACAAACACTTTGGAGGCATAATTTGCATATGTTCCATTATTCAAGATAAAATGACTCATTTATCCAGACATTTAAAATCTATTTGTGCTTGAATAAAATCAGGAAAAAATGGTAATGTGACCCTGGGACACTGCAACTGTCATAAATATGAACCATTTGCCAAGCACCTGAATTTTTATCATTTGACCATGCTGCAATGGTTATAAGTGCGAAAAGTGGTCATGTCACTTTTTTCATTGCCATTGTAACTTTGAACGATAAATAAATGAATGACTTACAAGGACTACCCAAAGTCTTCCCAAAGTTAAGTTATGTTCTAACCCAAGCCTCGTTCAAAGCAAACACCAGAGATAAAAGCAAAACCTTTTTAATGCTTCTCTGTGAATTCTGTTCATTCACAGTAAAACGCTATTAAAAGTTAATTGTCCCAGATAAGAACAAGCCTTACCAAGGTTGTGCAAGGCTGCCAAGAACACTAGATTAAATTTCAAGGAAATAATCAAAACCAAAAGTCTCCAAATGCAAACCAGGATAGTCTGAACTTCTACAAGATTTGAAGTGCAAGAAATTCTTTGCTTCCTGCAAAGAATCCCACCTCTGAGGGCTGGCTTTTATCCCTTAAGGGAGGGTCCATTACCTTGCAATCTTACTCCTGAGTCGCCTGTGCTGCTGCAGCTGCTCTTTCCTTTGAGCAGCCCTGCCCGCACGTGCACTGGGCACAGGGTCCTCTGCATCACTGCTGCCAGCCGTCACAAGTTCCGAAGGCAGCATTCCACTCTCTGATAGTCCTGGCCCCATACCTGCATCATATGCAGGCCCCTCATCCGAGCCCTTGCTCTCTGAGACCTCAGCCATCCGCACCAGCTGCTGGCGAACCACAACAAGTTAATGTCTCTTGAATAGAACTTGTTTTATTTGTAAACTGCCCAGAGTCACTTAGTGAGATGGCGGGTAAATAAATTTGCTTAATAAATAAAGATGAGGCATTTTTATTAAAATAATTAACTATAAAAATTAAACCCATTAATGATTCTATCAACATTATCTCTGAAATTTTAAAATTCATGTTTTTTTAAAGTGCAAATTGCCTATTATGGCTACATTAATTATGTTATATTAATGGTATTTTCTTTTTCTGCTGATAACTGGTATAAGATTTCATATGCAGATGCTCAAAAGTGATGAAAATGGTTCAACACTTTTATAAGGTGCTGTGTATCCTTATTTTGGCACATTCAGGTTGATAACTGGAGGTTTCAAATCAACCTATTTTAAGAAGAGAATGGTTTTGTATTTGGTTTTGATTAAAATTGTATTTCAGGGTTTTTAATATCTGATGTTTTGGTTATTTGACCCAGCTCCACAAACACGACAAACCCTTCGATGTGAACTTAAAAGATTCCTTTATTAGGAATGCTGGCAACCCTGGCAAAATGTTTCTCTCACAGGCTAACAGGTCCATCTGGCTGGAAGATGGATAGTTGTCCGCCACACCTATTCATCTCCTCCTCCTGCCTTTTATCTCCAGAGCTAGGGTGGGGCCTCGCTAGCAGCGGTGGCTCTTCCTTCCCCAGGATCAGCCCATGGCTTTCCATTGCTCTCTCCTTCTCTGCCTTCTGCGCAGCCATGCATCAGGCACTTGACCCAGCTGTCCCTCCTCCTCTTCATCAACCGCTTCCAGACCTAGGGGCTGTTGACTCTCCATTGCAGGCTGACGGATGGCCCAGATTCCGTCTCTGTCCGTCTCTTCGTCAGCTCCATTCCCTCTTCCCCTTTGGAGCTCCCAGGTTGCCCTGATGCTGACCCTGAATCCCATGCCGCCGCCTCTTGATTCGGCTGCTGAAGGGGCCAGTGGTCAAAAGGTCACAACATATCTGTTCTGTGATATTTGATATTAAAAGTATCAAGCAAGGTATGAATTAGGCTCTTAAATGACATTTTCTAGTTTTCTAGAAAAGCATTCAGATCCTAATCCAAAGATTCTCAAACTTAGCAAGTTGGATGGTAAACATGAAACTCTCCATTCCCTCCAGTGTAAAACACACCTAGGTTTTCTTATATGTGTGAAGTTCCAATTGTTAGGGGTAGTTTTCCCTTCCCCAGAAGCTGTTCTGTACATTTGACATGTTTGAAGGATGACTTCTACAATATGAAACAGATTTTTTCCTAGCATATCTCTTTTAGTCTATTTGAGTTTAAGATGAGATGTTCATAAAGAAGTTGGAACAGACTTTAAAAGGTTCCTAGACGGCAACATTATATTGTTGTAATAGTAACATATTTCCTATTTAATTTTAAATAAAGGTTTAAGGTATAGATGTAGTGTTGTTAAAAGATTTTTTTGCGAATTAACGGATTATTATTTATTTTTATATGACATGTATAAATCTTTCTCTAGTAACTTTATTATAGTTCATTTTATTATAGTTTGAATAGACAATTGAATAAATCTTGCCTCTGAAAATTCTTATTATACATTTGTCCATGTACTCAACATGAAATTTTTTAAAAAATTTTATTTATCTTTGACAAATTTTCTTCCTTTATAGGAAGAAGGCAAGGCTACAATAAGTTATTTTCCTGCTAATGGAACAGTTGATTTGATGTATTTCCCATATTATGGAAAACGCCTACATGTGAGTTTGTCTTAATTCTGCATCTGTGAATTTGCTTTGTTCATGTTCATTGCTAATAGTGTCATTCTACTCAACTGCATTCTCCTAAAAAATTAGTATGTGCGGCTGTGGGATGCTTCCTCCTTCTGGAGCAAACAGGCAGGATTCATTGCCTCACTATAAAGTGAAGGGGGGGGGGGGCTGGCCCAATTCCTAGTTTCTACTTTGTGAGCAAAGCAATCCAGTTTTGCTGGAGCTCCTAGTCTTTATCCCCATAGAGAAGCCTTAGCTTTTGCATGATGTTTTAAAAAGAAAAAGCACTTTTATCTGGTTGACCTAGCTTATCTTGCTTTCCTTCTTACCTAATAACACATCAGTAGGATTTTCATAAGGACAACTTATGCATTGTCTTGTGCAAGTAAGAGGGCATGGAGACTGGGAAGCTTTTGTTACTGTTGCACTCGTGCAGACACAACTAGGCTCTAGCAAAGAAGCAGCAATAGCTCCTATTCCTAATGGGGATCTGGGCCAGGCTTGGTGTGCAAAGGAGCAGGCAAATTTTATATTTCTATTTATTTAAAATAGTGATATCCTACATTTCAGTTGAAAAAGTTCACAGTACAACTCATAGAGCTTCTCTTCTTAGGGATGACTTGTGAGCAGTACAAGAAGGAGAAAGGATGGCAAAAAAGAAAAAGTGAGAAGACTTATGAGCCAGATTCTTAGTATTACAAAGATCCTAGTTTGTTCGACCACAAAAATGGTTCATTGGTTCTCTGGAGGAGAAGCCTTGACTTTTTAGGATGTCCGATGGTTTCCTTTCCTTTCTTTCTTGCCTTGTGCCATAGCTTTAATTATTCCTCAGAGTTAATACTTGAGGATTGTAGTATTTATACATGTTTACTTGGAAAAATTCTACTTGGTATAATTAAAATGCCTGATTTTTAACCAAACAATTACAGCTTGTTTTAGTTATATTAAATTTACTTTTGTATTGAAAAAAATAAAATTTTATTTCTGCCTCTTTTAAACCAGCCTGACTACTTACAGCCGCTAGTAGCTATTCAGCTAGCATTTAATACAACCAGTGCCAAAGAAGATGTAACCATTGAATGCAAGATCCTGGGAACCAACTTAAAAAATGACGATGAGCGTGATAAATTTCTGGGACGGGTTTCATTCAAATTTCAGGTATCTGCATAAAAGTCACCAATATCGCCAAAAGGTCAACCTTATCAGCAGGACCTGCCATTCTGAAAGATGAGACCACCCATAAGAAACCTAGAGTGGAACAAGGCATTCAGGGTAGCATAATGTGCTTCCAATCATGATTTCAATTTGTGACAATGTAACTGCCCATCATGCTTTTGCCTATTGGACCACTGTACAGATATAATCATTTTAGTGACCTGTAAATAGATTCCAGACATGTAATCATGGTGGTATGACTTGTTCAAAATGTGGGCTTTATCCCCAAGTGAGTGTCTGTAATGTATGTGCTGTGCTATGTAAATATTGTATTGGTTTAACACTGGTTAACTATCATATCAATACGAACACAGTCTTAGAAAGGTCAGACTAGTCAATTCAACACCGTGAATTAAGTCTATGCAGAGATGCCTTAAATCCTGTATCCCGTGGGAGGTAGTGGAGAGCTTCATGTGGATTTTAAGTTTAGCATTGATTTTTGACATTATTTAAATACTGAAGTAGATGTGCTTATTGTGCAAGTATTGTGTGTACATGCAATTTTTGGCCTAGATTTGATATTTCAGTTGCAAAATTATTGTGTTTATTGCTGTTACATGGAGCACAGATAAAACCAATACAATGTCACTTTTTAAAACTTTTTAAATGAGAATTATCCATATGAAACAAGTCCTTTACAATGTGTATGGTTAGAGATTTGGTAACAGTCATATTATAAAGCTGCTTGAAATAAAAAAAAGACCTCACAATATGGGACTAGATGTACAATTTCCAATTAAAAAATATTCCAGAATGGAGAAATGTCTGTTTAAACATTTTTAAACTCAGTAAGACTATCCGGATTAAACATTCCTTTGTTTAATTTATATAGTTTCAGATGAATTTTGTCCTCTGTAAGTAGTATTTAAAATTTAGGATTTTTTTCTATTAAGCATCCTTTTTACTAAATATCCTCTGCATTTCAAGATGTATTTTAAGCACCTCTCTATATTCCAGGTTATGTTATTGATGTTTCTTTCTTCTTTTCTCTTCACTCCAGGCAATTTAAGAACCAAAAATAAGTGGTTCAGAATGTGCATTAAAATACACAATTAACTTTTATGCAATCATTTGTTGTTTTTTTTAAAAAAGAACAATAATACAATAAGAACTCTTTTCAACAATAGTACAAGTTCTGAGAGGAAAAGTTTTCAGTTGTTTTATATATTTAAGATCCATATTGAGCATATCGAAGGTAGCTAGAAAAGAAGTTCAATGAAGGTAAAACCTATCTAGAAAGATTGAATATGTGAATTAGGGCCCTGGGAATCTGAATGAAATAAGCTAGTGAATAGCCAAAATAAATCAAACGGTTTTGCAGTTAAAGAAGAGCCACAATGTTGTATGACTTGCTATTGGTGTTTTGTTTTTTTTTAATAGGAGGATTCTATTGCTTTATTTGCTACTCTTGGTGTGGCCTGTTAAGAACTTGTATCTGTGTTGTGAAACCATTGTTGGTTCTACTATAGCCATAGACTTGGGCAGGTCAAACATTAGGATAAAACAGTGAAGCTTGAGGTACAGTTTGAATTTTTATTCAGAGGTAATATTTTAAATACTTCTGCCTTTTGATGTAACAGAGAGTACTTAAATATGAGCTAAGTTAAATCAAGATGCTGGTAAGGCTGACAAAAGAATTCTGGCTATGAATAGAAAGAACTCTAGCAGCTTAGAATATAGCAAATATCATCTCTGAAACATGTGGCATTGAGGAGTCCCACATCACCTCACAAACATGGACAAAGTTGGTTTTTCTCAGGGGCAAGGAAGGAATAATGGAGAGTTTGCTTTTGTGTGAAAGATCATGTTCTGGCCCCCTCAAAGGTTCTGTGTATAAAAGAAATGAAAATTCTTGCAAGGTGGACAGGTGAACTTTAGAAATTTGCTGGATCAGTCCAAGGCCTGTCTCAGCCCAGCACTTCCTTTCCCACCATAACTAAATTCTCCAGTGGGCTCAACACACAGGATATGGAGAGAGTTCCTGCTTTTGTGCCACAGTAACTGGTATTCAGAGGCATGCTGATTCCAGTTCACTGAAGTCATAGACCTACCTGTTCTCTTTCAGTTTATTCAACTGCTTTCTAAAACAATGAATGAGACACATGGTGTTTCTCTGGGAGTAACGGAGTATGGAAGGAATGGGACACAATTTTGACCTCAAGTGTCAAAATATGATGTAACTTGAGTTATGGAGAACTAGCTGGTGTTCTGCTTTAGGAAGTAAATTTTCATTCAAGTTGGATCTTGATTCGTGTCAAATGTGTCAGCCAAACTTTTCATGGCAATGTTTGGCTCTCTTTTTAAAAGAATGGTAAAAAATTATTCGATGTCTTGATGCACATTGAATAATGATGCCAAAATGCTTCCTTGCAGGAAGAGCTGCATGTAGCAGTTGAATCCATAGAATAGAATTGTGAGTGTTTTTCTGTCCTTAGAATGTTGTTAATACAATGGCAATTCCATGAACAGATAAATACTTTGATAATCTGCAGAACCTTTTATACAGTCTGAGCAAAACATTTCAAACACAAAATGGCTGTTTCATCTGTTCTAAGCTTGGAACAGACATTTGTTCTGATTTTTTGTACCAGTCTTAAGACACAATGGAATTGTTGTTGTTTCAAATATTGACATCCTGTAATTGACTTGTTTGCTTTTCCTTTATTTTCTCCAAGCCAGTGAGAGTTCATTAGCCAGTGAGCAAAGATTGCATTGTTGCTAGCATATAGGCTGGCTCTAGTTCAGTGGGTGGGGTTGGGTAGGGGAGAGTTAGTTAAGTATCTCTTCAGTGAGTCAGAATAATTTTGAATATTAGTCAGACTTCTACCTGATGGAAGGCGGTATTGTGGTTTTTAAAATTCCTTGCTATAGGGTAATTAGATGAAATGCTGCTTTCCCTCTGAACTCCCTGACTGTTGTGGGTTTTCTTGTTCAGAAAGTTGCAAAAACCTGCATGTGCATGAACTGTAAGAGCTCTCATAGAATTGATAGTGAGAAGTTATTTTGTAGTAGCATAATGAAGGGACTCCATTATTGTTGCTTTTGGGGTACGCATATTGCAGTTTTGTAGGTGATTTTTTACTTTTTAAAATTTAGCAAGTTGGTCAGCGTTTCTGTAGATCAAGTGATAAACATTCAACATGGAATTTTACCACTTCTAATTTAATGATACTTGAAGCATTTTGAGCTATGTTTGAGCTGACTAAAAGTTCTGAATGAGGCTGTTTGTTGTCAAGCTTGGAGAACATTTTTTAAAGAAAAATTGAATATATGCTTATTTTTGTGCACTGTCAATCCTATTCCAGAAGGGAACACTGTGAGTGTTTTTAGGCAAAGTTGTAGTGACACTACTTTGACTCAGACTATTCACCCAACATGCTAACCTCTATTTTATTCATAAGTCTGTATGACACCTAAGCTACACAAGCTACGTTTACACAATTTGTTGAGCTGAAATGTCATTGATTATTTTGGGTCAGGGTGTCATATGAACACAATCACAGATGGCATTCAGTTCCCTTCACCTTTTATTTGTAATTTGTGGAAAATAACAGCAGGAGACTTCCGTGTGTTTCTTGCATGAAAATTTCCATTGGAGCAATCATTAGGTGAATGCCATCCTTCTGAGAGTAAGTTTAAAAAGTATGGGACAATACAATGATGTTTTTAATGCAAAAACAGACAGAATTTCTAATTTGTCTTTAAATACAATTGCATTAGTCTTTCTCTGGAACAATTTGCAAACTTTTAAATAATTTCTCCATATTTTAAATTCTTCATCCCAAGATTAACAACTGCTGCTATGAAATAAACAGGGTTGAACAAAGCAGTTTTATTTGGCTGACTGGCTTTGATCAGATTTTGTTTCATTAGGCAACTTGTTCTAAACTTGGTAACACATCCTTGCAGAGCAAATCTGCTAGTAGTTGCCAGAGACAGTTTATAATTTTCATTAATTTTCAAGGTTGATTCATTGATTAAGTGCACCAATGTTTGTAAAGTAAGAAAAGAGTCATAGCAGATTTACAATCGCATTTGTAGAATACTGCAAGTAACACAGTAATCAAATCCAAGTTGAAGTTTAAATAAGTGCCAGTTTCAAATTGTTATGGGTCTCAAACATGGGGCAGATCAATTTTGACACACATCTTTGCAATTATAATGATAATAAAACAAAAGCTATTTTGAAATCTCTAGATTCTGTAATAGTTTTAAAAGGATATACCTAACTATCTCCAGTAGATTTTTTTTCCTGTCATTTGTCTACACTACTTTATAAAAAACACCCTACAGAAGAAATGATTTTAAGATATTTAAAAGCCAGTTTTCCAACATGTTTTCTTTGGAATTAAATACATTTGTACTGATTATTTATGTAAAAGGGTTGCATCTTCTTAATAAAGACATAGGCAATATGGAGTTAACTAGTTGTTTGATAGGAATTAGTCATAAATCAGAATTTTACATTGCACAGAAGTAGCTACCAGTAAATTTCCCAGACTTTTAAAGCATTTGAATCTTTTAAAATTTTTTTAAGGAAGATTGTAAAACAAATTAATTTTGTTTCTGCCATCTTTTAAGGTCTCTCCTCTCCAGAACACTTTGTGCTGTGAAAATACCCTCTTATACACTTTCTATGTTTTTATAAAAGTGTAAGTGTAAATGTAAGTTCTTTGATGCCTTTCCTATAAAATGTTTCTGGTTTTGGCCATTTGAAAGTTGACTAAATATACGACGGCTATCCACAAAATAGATTACGTTTTCATCTGTAGCAAGAAGGGGCGGTGCTAGCGCGGCCATCTTTGGTCTGTGTGTCCACCGCTCAGTCTGCATCTAGTGCTAGTGGGAGGTTCGTATCGTTGCCCGTTATTTCACAGCAAACGTTTGAAATGTGCTGCAATTGAAAATCCCGCGAGTTGTGAGGTGTGATCAGTGATAAGGTTTTTGTTGGCAAAAAACCATAAACCAATTGAAATTTTTTGGAAACTGTGTGAAGTGTACGGGGACAACATCATCACTGAAGGTGGAATGCGCCAATGGTGCATTAAGTTTAAAAATTTCCTACACTTTTTTTTTTCTATCGCAAAACGTAATCTATTTTGTGGATAGCCCTCGTATTTATACTGTTAACTATCTCTTCTCTTTCTGGAGTTTTCTGCCAAGGAGCCCTGTTCTAGAATTAACAGGGCTCCTTCGCAGGAGCTGAAATCCTGATGAAATCTTAATATTAGTCCTTATGCAACTTTTGTGATAATCAGATATCAGAGATACATATTTTATAAAGAAAAAGTAGGGATTGAAAATAGCATACAGAACTGTGCCCGAGCCAGTAGTCATGAAGTAACAAATTACAAGAAAGTTGTTCTAACTTTACCAGAAATGTTCTGACACTGTTCTGAGCTTGGAAGACTTCCAGAATGGTCAGAGCAGTTGAGACAGAACAGTTTTTGAAAGATTTTGAATTTGAAATGCTTTTGCATAACACCAGTACAAATCTCTTTTCTTTTATGGCTGCACTGAAGCAACTTATCCAGTACTATGCTAGAACAGTTACTGAAACTAAGCAGGAACTTGTTCTTGGGACTGAAGATAAACAAATCTACTTTTCAATCTTAATAGTTTTACGCTGTAGCTTTCCTGAAAAGTTTATCTCTTCCCTAACCATTTTTGGACATTACATTTTGTCAGATTTCAATTTCCAAGTTGATTCTGCTGGTAATATAAGTCATCATTCTACACCAAAACAAATTTTCATGGTGAAACTGCAGCACAAAAACTTATCAGTAAGTCTGATTCCATTTCAGATTTGAAATAAGACAGTGGTGTCGTCTTCAACTGTAGCTGTTAAATGCAAGCCCAACTTATCTTTAATTAATAGTTACTGCTGCTGCTAAGATATCAGTGTGCTAATAGTACTGTGCAAAAGTTTTAGGTAGTTGTGCAAAAATGCTGTAAATTAATGCTTTTAGAAATAGAAGTGTTAATAGTTTATTTTTATTAATTAACAAAATGGAAAGTAAATGAACAAGAGAAATCCAAATCAAATAAGTATTTGGTGTGACCATTCTTTGCCTTCAAAATAGCATAATTCTTCTAGGTACATTTGCACACAATTTTTGAAGGAACTTGGTAAGTTATTTCAAAAAGAATTCTTAATTTACACATTTTTGCACAATTGCCTAACATTTTTGTATAGTATTGTACATTTTCAAGGTTTATATGCCCTTGTCATAAATTATTGGCTGCTTAGTTGTATTGTTTACATTTCTTTCTATTTGGCTATTAAAGAAAAACACTTCTGAATATGATGTTGCAGCAGCCCAAATGGATGCTAAAGAATATTTTTGCACCAGAGGTGGTATTCAGCAAATTCTGACCAGTTCTGGAGAACTGGTAGTAGAAACTTTGAGTAGTTTGTAGAACCGGCAAATACCACCTCTGACTGGAGATTTTACAGTATCCTTCCACTGCCACGCCCACCAAGCCAGGCCCACAGAACCGATAGTAAAAAAGAAATCGAATTCCACCACTGTTTTGCACCCTACTTATGTCATGTTTTCACAGTTCCCCAGAGTTCCATTGGTTAAATGGACAGCAACATAGGATAGAATCAGGGGTGGGATCCTACCGGCATAACAACCAGTTTGGTGAACGTGCGCTTTGTGCACGCGTGTGCACTTTGCATGTGCAATATTTGCAAAACAAATTCTGCAAGCAGTCACCATCTGCTGACGCGTAGCACTCAGCTGTGCCGCGCAAAGCAATTAAGGTAAGAATAAAGGACAACCTAGAGCCCAGGCGAGCGGGCTCAACCTAAGAAAAGATCTTCAGAGAGAACCAGTCCAGTGTCAGCTGCTCTTCAGAGCTACCAGTTCTATAGAACTGGGCCGAACCAGTAGAACCCCACACCTAGATTGAATAGAACACAATTCCTGATTGGGCACACAAGGAATTTGTCTCTGGTACATAAGCTGTCAGTATACATACAAGCAAAAAGTTACAATCATGATCATAAGATACAATCATAAATCAGTGATAGCCATAGGATACTAAATAAGCAATCAACATAAACCATAATAGGCTACTAATAAAAACAATCAATGTAAATCAAGATACAAACAACAAAGTTATAAGAACCTAAGGAAATAAGTAATAGGAAAGATAAGAAATCGTAATACGGCCCTACTAGGTAGTTTAATATCCCAGGGCATAAGACAATGTTGTGGGAATTAGTTGTTTAGCAGAGTGTTGACATGTCCTTGTGTCTAATTGTTTTGGCATGCAATGCCCTATAGCATTTTGAGGGAAGAGGTTGCAATAGTTTAGGACCAGTCTATGTCTAGATGTGAAGGTTCTAGATACTTTCACAGCCCTCTTTCTGGATCTGCATTCATTCATTTATTTAAGAAAGTAAGCCATATCACTTATATTTACTAAGAAAACAAATGGCTGCTAATAGATTATCAGTCTACTTGAGTTTGATGTAAATATTGATTTAACTGGATGTCATCATCATACTAATACATATAAAGGCTAATTTCCCTCCTCTTGTATCCCACAGCATGAGGGAGTGCTGTCAAAATTTCTCTTCAAAGATCAGAACAGAATCAGATCTGTCTATAAGACTTTCCTACCAAGTATATGGTTGCAATACTTGCTTTCTTTGATGCAATGAAAGTATTTTCAGCTAACAGGGAAAAAGAAGTGGCTTTGAAGAAAAGTTCAAAAAGAATTTATTTAAATCTTGCAACTGTACCAGTCTTAAAACAGGTATACTTTTTCATGCTTCTGCCAGAAAGAAGAGCTTTAATGCCTAACAGAACTGTTCCGAACTCTCAGAAGAGCCCAAGTTCTTACTCCAAATTATATTTAGAAAGCACTACCCTATTCTAAGCATTCTTTTTTTCTGTTCTGTTCATTTCAGTTTTTTATCTTCTGTTTATTATTATTATTATTAACTATATATAAAGGTCATTTTTTTCTTACAGAATTCCATTGCCAGATTTAAAAAAAAATCTTTTTTTGAAATATAGAAGCCCTTAAGATTCATCTCAGATGAATCAAAGTACGCTGGAGGAAAGAGGATGAAATATTAATCAGACAAAAAAACCTATAATAACATGTTCTCATCTAGGAAGGAAAGAAAACAATTTAGCGGCATGTTAGAAACTTGACCAGACAAGAGCCTATTGTTTTACAACTCTGCTTTGTACTTTAAGGTGTAGCCAGATTTATGGCTTAGATCACCTGGTATTATGATGACTCAGCACCACTGAACCCTTTTATTTACCTCATTAGTTCTGGACAACAAATTTATTCCAGCAAAAATATAAAGACAAAAGTTTCATCCTGCTTTTAGAAAAAGTGTTTGGGAGGCTCCAATTTATTGTATTAGACATAAAAGCCTTGCAGTAATGTACTCCCCCCCCCCACCCCCAATTCAGGTGCCATAATCTTCTGACCCAAGTATTTACAGGCTAATGTCATTTGAATCAGTATTGTGAATTCTGCTTTGTTTGTGGCCTCTGTTTATATGTACTTTTCTAAATTATCTTTTTATCCTCTCCTTTTCTGACAAAATCAGAACAGTACAAAACAGTCTAAAAGGTTTACAGCCAACCTAGAAATAAATGGTATGAAAATATCTCTCGACATATTGTGAATGAAAAATACACAAGGAAAAATGATGTGGGGGGGAAGGTAGATCTGTATTGCTTTGCCTGAATGGATGATAGAGCATTTTAGTGAGTAATTAAAACTTGGAAGCTCGCCATGTTTATTAGACATGAGTTCCCTTGAAAACAACGTTGGGATCATAGGCCACATGTAGAAAAAATATATTCAAAACTACTCTTTAAATCATTTGAATCCTCAAGTCCTGAATCAACATAGACAAACTTTAGTTCTAGTGGTTGTGATTTTTTTAAAACAAAATCACAATCGCCTAGCAGGTGTAATAACTGATAGCAAAGTTGTCCCTGATTAGCCTCCTCTCAACAAAGGTAAAAAAACACCAACTCCAGACAAATAAAACAATATTGATAAGATTTTCAGTTATTGATTTCCTGATCCTTTTAAAAAAAAATTAAGAGACTTTCAAAGGAAAATAGTGCTTTAGCTGTTTTGGCTACATGTATCAATATTTTAAGGTAATGAATCTTTGAGTGATTGACTAATTAAGTCGTATGTCATTGTCAACTCCTAACTGGTAGTAACTTCATAGATTTTTCTCCACGATCGTTTTTCCTTAACCTTGTCTTCTGGAAGATTT